AAAAAAAAAAAAAAAAAATTAGCCGGGCAAGGTGGCCGGCAGAGGCTGAGGCACGATAATCGCTTAAACCTAGCTACTAGGGAGGTGGAGGTTGCAGTAAACCGAGATCACGCCACTGCACTCCAGCCTGGATGACAGAGCAAGACTCCATCTCAAAAAAGAGAAAAAAAAAAAAAAGATATCCAGCCTGGGCAACATGGCAAAACCCCGTCTCTACAAAAAATGAACCAGGCACTTGCCTGTAGTCCCAGCTACTCGGGAGGCTGAGATGGGAGGATCACCTGAACCAAAAAGGCTGAGGCCGCAGTGAGCTGAGACTGCACCACTGCACTCCAGCCTGACTGACAAAGAGAGAGACCCTGTCTCAATAAATAAATAAATGAAAAAAAGAAAATATAGTATTGGTGTCCAGATAGACGAATAGATCAATGCAGCAGAATAAAGAGTTCCGATATGTGGGCAATTAATTTTTGACAAAAATGAAAGCACAATTCAGTGGAGAAAGGATAATGCCTTTGGCCCAGGGCGGTGGCTCACGCCTGTAATCTCAGCGCTTTGGGAGGCTGAGATGGGTGGATCCCTTGAGGTAAGGAGTTACAGACCAGCGACACCCAGCGGCCCCCCCCCCCCGCAAAAAATGTATTTTATCAATAATGTGTGTGGAAACTTGGAAAAACAAGAAAAGATAGTGTCTTCAACAAATGTTGCAGGTATAATTGGATATCCACACACTCATCCAAACAAAACAAACAAACAAAAAAAACTCATATGCAAAAATTAACCTAGAATGAATCATAGATCTAGTTGTGAACCTAAACTATAAAACTTAGAAAAACTGGGGTCGGGCGTGGTGGCCAGCCTGGGCAACATGGCGCAACCCCGTCTCTACTAAAAATACAAAAATTGGCCGGGCACAGTGGCTCACGCCTGTAATCCCAGCACTTTGGGAGGCCAAGGTGGGGGATCACCTGAGGTTGGGAGCTCGAGACCAGCCTGACCAACATGGAGAAACCCATCTCTAATAAAAATACAAAATTAGTCGGGCATGGTGGCACATACCTGTAATCCCAGCTACTTGGGAGGCTGAGGCAGGAGAATCGCTTGAACCCAGGAGGTGGAGGTTGTGGTGAGCCAAGATCACACCATTGCACTCCAGTAAGGGCAACGAGAGGGAAACTCCGTCTGAAATTAAAACAAACAAACAAACAAACAAACAAAAACAGAATGAAAAGAAGATAGGTAGCCCCTCTACCTCCGGAAGAGCTGAGAGTGATAACACCAGGCACTGAACTAGCAGGAACCCCTCCGACTCAAGAAGATGGCTGATCGTTGGCAGGAATGCATGGATTATGCAGTAACTCTAGCAAGATGAGCTGGAGAGGTAGTTTGTGATGCTCTAAAAAATGAAATCAGGCTGGGCGCCGTGGCTCACGCCTGTAATCCCAGCACTTTGGGAGACCGAGGCGGGCGGATCACGAGGTCAGGAGATCGAGACCATCCTGGCTAACATGGTGAAACCCCGTCTCTACTAAAAATACAAAAAAAAATTAGCCAGGCACGGTGGCTGGCGCCTGTAGTCCCAGCTACTCGGGAGACTGAGGCAGGAGAATGGCGTGAACCCAGGAGGCGGAGCTTGCAGTGAGCCGAGACTACACCACTGCACTGCAGCCTGAGTGACAGAGCAAGACTCCGTCTCAAAAAAAAAAAAAAAAAAAAAGAAATGAAATGAATGTTATACCGAAAGGTTCTCCAGTTGATTTGGTAACTGCTACGGACCAAAAAGTTGAAGAAACGCTTATCTCTTCTGTAAAAGAAAAGTACCCATCTCAGTTTCATTGGTGAGGAATCTGTGGCAGCGGGGAGAAAAGTGCCTTAACTAACAACCCCACGTGGATCATTGACCCTATTGATGGAACAACTAACTTTGTACATAGATTTCCTTTTGTAACTGTTTCAATCGGCTTTGCTGTAAATAAAAAGATATAATTTGGAGTTGTATACAGTTATGCGGGAGATAAGATGTACACTTCCAGGAAAGAAAAAGGTGCCTTTTGTAATGGTCCAAAACTACAGGTTTCACAACAAGAAGGTATTACCAAACCACTCTTGGTGACTGAATTGTCAGAACACCAGAAACTGTAAGAATTGTTCTTTCTAACATGGAAAAATTTTTTTGCATTCCTGTTCATGGGATCTGGAGTATTGGAACGGCAGCTGTTTGCCTTGTGGCAACTGGAGGAGCAGATGCATATTATGCAATGGGAATTCACTGCTGGGCTCTTGCAGGAGTTAGCATTATTGTTACTGAAGCTGGTGGCATGCTAATGGATGTTACAGGTGGATCATTTGATTTGATGTCACTAAGAGTAATTGCTGCAAATAATATTAACAGAAAGGATAGCCAAAGGAATTCAGGTAGTACCTTTGCAATGAGACGATGAAGATTAATTCCAGCAGCCTCATAGTCAATTCCAGTTGCTTTTCCCCAGATTTGCTGACTCGCCGATGGATATGTGTTTTGGAAGTATGATATGCTTGGTTTTAATTCTCTTTGTCCAGATTAAAAATTTGGAACTTGTTCCACTTTTAGAAAAAAATAAATGAAAAGACAAACCACAAGATTGGAGAAAATATTTGCAAATGATGTATCAAAGAATTTATATCCAGATTACATAAAGAGCTCTCAAAACTCATAAAACAGCCCAATTTTTAAAATGGGCAAAATAATTGAACAGACATTTCACCAAAGGAAAAATACAGATGACAAGCACATAAAAAGATGCCGAACATCATAAAAACTGAGGCTTGCCAGAGACTCCATACAGCATCCTTACCCACCACGAATGCCTCTAGTTCCAGCTTCCATCCCAGTCTGCCCAAGTTTTCTCCTGTTCTGGGATCCATTCACTAGGCAAATGTAAATTAAACCCACAATGAGATACCACTACATATCGATTTATAGATCTAAAGTGATGGTGTGTAAAGTTAAAGATTCACTGTAGGCCGGGCACAATGTCTCATACCTGTAACCCTAGCACTTTGGGAGGCTGAGGCGGGTGGATCATTTGAGGTCAGGAATTCGAAACCAGCCTGACTAACATGGTGAAACCCTGTCTCTATTAAAAATACAAAAAAATTAGCCAGGCGTGGTGGCAGGCGCCTGTAATCCCAGCTACTCGAGAGGCTGAGGCAGGAGAATGGCTTGAACCTGGGAGGCGGAGGTTGCAGTGAGCCACGATTGTATCACGGCACTCCAGCCTGGGTGACAGAGTAAGACTGTCTCAAAAAAAAAAAAACATATATATATATATATATATATATATGAACCCATGTGCATTACTGGTGGGGATATAAAACAGTATAACACTTCGCAAAATCTGTAGAAGTTAAACATAAATTTACCATATGGCCCAAGTCCAGCCTGAGATATCTACCTGCAAAAAATGAAAACATCTGCCTACACAGAGATTTGAACACTAACGTTCCTAGCAGAAATACTCACAATCTTGTCTAAAAGATCACCAAGATGGCTAAATAGTAGAAAGGAGCACTTTCTTGTTGATACTTGTTTGCAAACCAGGAAGAGACGGTCTGCAGCGTGCACCGAAGGTGCTCTCTTCCAAGAGAGAAAGGACAGGTTGGGTTTTATGCCTCACAGGGCCCGTATTCATACATATTTAGCAGGTTTGAGGGAAAAGCTGTATACATATTTATGAGAAGAGGTGAGCTCATGTGCAATGGCTAAATAGTTTGTTCACAGCTTCCGTAAGCTGGCTGAAACTAGCTTAAGTTCTGCAGTTGCTTATCAGAAAAGAATGTTTGTTGGCTGGGTGTGGTGGCTCATGCCTGTAGCTCCAGCACTCTGGGAGGCTGAGGCGGGAGGATAACTTGAGCTTGGGAATTCGAGGCCAGCCTGGGCAATACAGTGAGATCCCATCTCTTTTTTTTTTTTTTTTTTTGAGACAGCATCTCCCTGTTGCCCAGGTTAGAGTGCAGTGATATAATCTCAGCTCACTGCAGCCTCCACCTCCTGGGTTCAAGTGATCCTCCTACCTCAGCCTCTGGAGTAGCTAGGACTACCAGTGCACACCATCATGCTGGGCTCATTTTTGTATTTTTTGCAGAGACAGGGTTTTGCCAGATTGCCCAGGCTGGTCTCAAACTCATGAACTCAAGCGATCGTCTCGCCTCAGCCTCCCAAAGTGCTGGGATTACAGGCATGAGGCACCATGCCCAGCCAACATACATTCTCTATTTTAAAAATTAAATTAAATTTTAAAAAGAAAAAGAATGTTTGTGTCCAGGCATGGTGGCTCACGCCTATAATCACAGCACTTTGGGGAGCCTAGATGTGAGGATCACTTGAGATCAGGAGTTCGAAACCAGCCTGGGTAACATAGTGAGACCCCTCGTCTCTACAAAAAACAAAAAACTTATCCGGGCATGGGCGGCGCACACTTTTAATCCCAGCTATTCGGGAGGCTAAGGTGAGAGGATCACTTGAGGCTGGGAGGTCAAGGCTGCAGTGAGCCATGATAGAGCCACTGCACTCCAGCCAACAAAAATCTATCTCAAAAAAAAAAAAATGTTTGTAAGAACCAGTCCTCTATGTGATCAGAGGCATAAGGGTTTGGTTTGTAAATCAAGACTTGGGATCATTTGCCTGATGGCTCCTGATGTTAGGGAGTTTTGCGAATATGTTGTTTTTCTTTGTAATTGAAAAAGGTTATTAATCAGTGAGTGAGATTTCTGTTGTTGTTGTTGTTTCGAGAGGGAGCCTCCCTCTGTTGCCCAGGCTGGAGTGCAATGGCGTGATCTTGGCTCACTGCAACCTCCTCCTCCCAGGTTTAAGCAATTCTCCTGCCTCAGCCTCCCTAGCAGCTGGGATTACAGGCGCACGCCACCAAGCCTGGCTAATTTTTGTATTTTTAGTAGAGATGGGGTTTCACCATGTTGGCCAGGCTAGTCTTTAATTCCTGACCTTGTGATCCGCCCACCTTGGCCTCCCAAAAGTGCTGGGATTACAGGCATCAGCCACCACGCCCAGCCCCAGAGGCAGATTTTTATCCACCTTAGTTACTGCTATATTCCCAATGCCTAGAACCATGCTTAGCCCAGAGTAGGTGCACAAATATTTTGCTGAAATCATGAACTTCCTCATTTGAGGAAATTAGGGAAAATAGACCATTGGATTTTGAGATTAGGGCTCATGCATATGAATGTCTGACACATGCTAAACTCAAAAAAGTTGGCTGTTCTTATCTCAAGCCTAAGAGTCCCACTTAGAGACAGGAAACCATCCACTTGAGGACCCAGTGAACAACTTAGCTGACATCTGTGAGGGCCCTGCTTCTGAAGCCATGTATGAGCCAGATGCTCTCTGAGAGAGCTGCCTGGGCTGTCACCCCAGTGCTTGGGACACAGTGATACATTCCTGACTACCTACTTTTTGTGATTAAATGGGGACATTGTTACCAGAGGGTTAAAACTTCCAGCCTCTCAGATTCCCCAGTGGACAGATGAGGTAGTCAGAGAAAGCACAGGAATGAGGCTAGCCTTGACTGGGAATAACTAAGCAGCATTTGCATAAGGCAAGAAGACCCTTTTTCAAACTATGGCTCATCACCCAGGATGATGGTGTTGTGAACAATTTAGTGGGTTGTACATAACATCTTGTTGATGACAGAAACTACTTGTTTTGTGGATTGGAAAAAAAAAAAAAACCATAATGATTCATTTTTTTTTGTTACCTAAGAAAGTCTTTGGCTGCTGCCTTGAAACAGCCACAGGATGGCAAGGATAGGCAGGGACAAGGCAGGAGCAGGAACCTGGGTCCGGGCTGATGGTTGTGATGGAGGTGAGGAACTGGGCAGGGTTGATAGACTTGGAAGACAGCAGGTGACAGATTAGGTGCAGCACATGTGACCGTGGACTCATGGGTGATGCCCCAAGTGTGCGGCCTGGGAATCTGGAAGGATGAGGTTGCTATCAGCTGAGCTGTGGCCTCTGTGGGAGAGCAGGGCAGCCACTGGGCGGCACCAGAGCTGAGAGGACAGCCGTAGGGGTGGGGAAACTGACTAGCCACCCCCATATCTACTCCTGAGGACCCTTAAACAAAAGAAAAACGCCGGGCGCAACAGCTCATGCCTGTAATCCCAGCACTTTGGGAGGCCGAGGCGGGTGGATCACAAGGTCAGGAGTTCCAGACCAGCATGGCCAAGATGATGAAACCTCGTCTCTACTAAAATACCAAAATTAGCTGGGTGGTCAAGCCGGGTGCCTGTAATCCCAGCCACTCGGGAGGCTGAGGCAGAGAATTGCCTGAACCCAGGAGGTGGAGATTGCAGTGAGCTGAGATCATGCCACCGCACTCCAGCACTCCAGCCTGGGCGGCAGAGCGTGACTCCATCTCAAAAAAAAAAAAAAAGAATGGTCGCAACCAAATTCTCAGAAGGCAAAGCAGGATGGAACAGTGAGTCATTTACTTTTTAAGTGAAAAAATGGTCTGGAGTTACAGAGAAATCTATAAAGAAATCAGTCTCGATTTCCTGATCCTTTTGTTCTTTTGAGAGTATCAAATTCCTTCCGAGAATAAGGAACCACATTATAGTGGGAACTATAGTTGTGGTCACTTCAGAACACAGCTGGCCATGTCAAAGAGGAGTTTGTACAAGAACCCGAAAAGATGGAGATCTCACAAAGGATTTCCAACTAGGTTTTATTTTAGTTTCCAATATTATGAGAATGATACAGGAGTAACTCAGGCAAATATATCACCTTAAATACATCAGAGAAAACTCACTGTGTCAGCGCGTCTTGCGCTCCAGCAAATGAACGTAAAAACAGAACAATGTCAGCAGCATTACAAGTGCTTTTGGCCAGACTTCTTTCAGAAAGGGTCTCTCCCTTGGTGGTCTTAATTTAATTTTACTTATTGAAGAAGCTCAAAATTTCATTCATTCCCCAGGGGCTACATTGAAAAAAAATTCATGTTTATGCTAAAGAATTTTTTTTTTCCCCCCCAAAAGAGCATAAAATCCATTGGAATTGTGTGACACTGATTTTCCCTGACATGCTGTGAAGTGGCCCCTATCCATTCAGGCCCAGCACACACCGGGAACACCCACCCATAGCACGTCCACCTGGCAGAGTCCATCACTTTGCCCCACACAACAGGACAGACTGAGGGTTTTAAGTACAAGCAGGTATGTGAACAGGACATCACCTGTGATGTGGCCACCAACCAGTGCACAGAGGCCACCAACTAATTTCCTCAAAGATGAGTGATGGCTGGGCTGCTGGGCCCCTGCCCTGTGGGCTGCTTTTCGGGAGAGGTGTTGCTTATTTCTAGGAAGCGATCCAACTTGTGCCACACAGGATTTGTCACCCAAACTGTTTTTCTCACACAGTCAACACCTTGGTGACAGGCATCTGCCCCCACTTCAACCAGCAACAATCCCAAAACTCAACATCAGCATAAGGATAAGGGGGTCAGTCGAAGTTTCTGGGGATCAGGGAGGGTGGAAGGATGGGCACTGGATTTTCCACATTGTCCCTTGGCCAACTGCAGTCACTGGCGCAGGAAATTTAGTCCAGGGCACTTGGGGCAAGGCTGGGGGGTTAAGAAACATGTCTCTTAAAGGACACAACAGGGATGCAATCAAGCCTAGTGGGTGGGGGCTCTCAGACCCATGAGCCCCTTGAGAACGAGGTCAAATGGACGGCCCATTCTCCAGCTGTCTTGTGTGGAGCCCACGCTCCTTAGCCAGCTACCAAGGTCCCCACCTTCCACCATCCTTCCTTCTACTACATCCTTCAACCACCTAGACCAAGCCATCTTCCAAAACACATCTACACAAAACAGGCCTGCACAAGTCCAGGACTGACACTAAAGCAGGGGGCACAATAATGAGAAGAGAGGCAAGTCCCTCCTTGTCCCAGTGACCGCCACTTGCTCTGCCAGCTCCTCATATATCCAACAGCCCTCTCCTCTGAGCTACTCCCACTCCTCCAGCTGCCTCGGCTGCAGCACAGGGCCCGCCTCAGCCTAAGCCCAGGGGTAACTGAGCCTCAACACCAAGACGTGTCTGAGAGGCTCTGTAAATGGGATAAAGCACTGAGCCAACAGGTGAGACGAACACACACAAGCCACAGTCCTTCTGGGACAGACTCTGGGAAGAAACTCCAATCATCCCTTACACCTGTAGGTGTGCTGGGCTGCAAGGAGGGCAGGTGCGCACAGGCTGGAGAAAGGTGGGGGTGTCTGCGTGATACCCTCAAAGGCTTCCATGAGGCACTGTGCAATGCTGAGATCCCAAGGCCTTATCAAGCACTCAGATGAACCCAAGAGAGCTGGAAAAAGCTTCAACTTAACTCCTTGGTACCAAGCTGTCCATAGCTGTCGTTGAAAGTGTCCTTTAGGGGTATGAGCCAGATCTTCCTGCAACAGCAGGCAAAGGAGGGGGAAAATAACTAGTGCTGGAGGGCTCAAAATGGTACGAGACTGGGTGCTTCATTCTCTTGGCGGTGGCCAGGGGCAGGAGCCACATGTGCCCCTGGGGGAGCCCACACAGCACTCAGGGCTGGCAGCACCGCCCCTCTCCACGCAGGCTCCGCCTCAGGTGCCCACTATCTGCTGGGCTGCAGGTACTGGTGTGTGAACATGTTGAGCTCACTGTCCAACCAACCGGCTTTATTCCTGCAAAGAAATGTTTCTTTAGTAACCATGACAGCTGATGACAGGCAGTATTAGGACTACCCACCAGGCACCATCCTAAGGACACTTGACACACACCCTTACATAATCCTCCAACAATCGTATTTATTCCTGTTTCACAGATGGGGACAAGGAGGCCCAGAGGGGTTAAATAACTTCCCAAGGCCACATGGTTAATAAGCCAGGGAGCTGCAAGTCAGGCTTTTCTGATTCTCAAGACCTGTGTTTGCTTCACCAGGACCATGTGCAAGTCCCTGAGCTGTCAGGAACTCAGTTTCCCTGCCTGCCAAGGAAGGGGTTGAGGTGCTGACAGGAGACCCTTTCCAGGTTCAACCATGTCACTGTGGCTGACAAGCAGCAGTTCCCCCCCACCACATTCCCCCTTTTTGAGTCCCCAGAGGGCAAGCAGTGTGTCCCTAGGAAACAGCTGTCCCCAGGTGGGGGCGGGGCAGGGGGGGCACATCCGCACAGTCGAGGGCAGGGAAAGCCCACTGATCTGGTGACGGTTGGAGCTGACACCCTCTGATGCATCTCCCCTCTGGCTCTGCCACCCTGCAGGCTCTGACGTCAGGGGTGAGGGCAGGAAGTGGAGGGTCCCCATGTGCTGATGTTATCACGGGCTGGGCAGGCCAAGGATTTTTGCAGGGCACTTTTACATTCAGTTGTGCAGCTGTGTCATGAAATCTTACTCCCATTTTACAGATGAAAATAATGAGACATAGCAGAGTTAAGAGCTTGAGCCAAACATGAGTGGCTGGAGAGAACCCAGGACTCCAGATTCATCAGACTGATGCTCTTTCCAGCAAACTGTTAATGAAAGCTCCACAGAGACTCCCTGGAGATCTGAGTTCCAATCCCAGTTCTGCGAGTCCCCAGCCAAGTAACCAGCTTCTCTGTGGACAAAGGGGGGGCTACGCCCTCTTCATGGCTCCAAAGAGCGGCAGGTGTAAGGAGAATCAGAGTGCAAGGGCTGCTGGAGCCAAGTACACCTCGGCTCCCCTCCTAGCCTGGCCATTTTCTGAGCTGCCAGACAAGTTCCCCAATTTTTCTATGTAGAAAATGGAGGGATAGGGAAGACTGAGTGAAACAGCACATGTAAAGCACTGCAGGCCCTGCAGTTCGGCACAGGGCGCTGTGAACTGCAGTCTCGCAGTACTGTGATGCCACCATGCCTTCAGCTGCAAGTGCCTTGAAGGCAGTGACGCTGTGTCTTGTTGAACCTCCAGCACCAGCACCATCTGGCACCCATGAGGTACGTGGTACACATCACTTTTTTTTTTTTTTGAGACAGAGTTTTGCTCTTTTCGCCCGGGCTAGAGTGCAATAGCGCGATCTCTGCTCACTGCAACCTCCGCCTCCCGGGTTCAAGCCATTCTCCTGCCTCAGCCTCCCAAGTGGCTGGGATTACAGGCGCTCGCCACCACGCCCAGCTAATTTCTGCATTTTTAGTAGACACAGGGTTTCACCATGTTGGCCAGGCTGGTCTCAAACTCCTGACCTTCAGTGATCTACCTGCCTCGGCCTCTCAAAATGCTGGGATTACAGGTGTTGGCCACTGTGCCTGGCCCGTGGTACACATCTAACACGAATAAATTAAATCCCCACCCAAGACACAAGCCACACCCAAGACACAAGCCCAGCAGCTGAGCCCCAGTGCGCCTGTGCTGCACCCTGGAACCCTCCTTTGGCCACCCAGGCCAGCCTCACCTGAGCAACTTTGCTTTGCTCTGAAGTGAGTCAAGAACCTCAATTTTCTTGTTCATGGCAGCAATTTCCTGCTCCAGGTTCTCTCGGGTGACGTCAACTTGCTGGCACAGATGAGCAAAGGTCCCAGACAGTTCCCTGGGGAGGACAGAGAAGGGATCAGTTGGGGTGTGTGGAGCAAGATGCCACTGGTGGCTTAACCCACCCAGAGTGGGAAGCAGCTGGCCCCGTCGATATCCCTGCCAGCAGCTCTGCCCTGAGCCAGCCCTGGTTTGGCAGAATCTCCTACATCCTGCTGAGACTGTGAATAATCATAACAACCAAACACACTTGGCATCACCACGGCCTGAGAAGCAACAGCACGCAGAGATCCTGACTCTGCTGCTCATCAGCCGAGTAGCAGGGAACATGTGACTGTTTTTCAAATCTCAGTTTCTTCAATTTGAAAAAGGAGATGCCTATAAGACAACATCTACCTCAAAGAATCAGAGAAATACATAAATTAGATGCAAAATGTCTAGAGCAAAGGGTCTGCCACACACAACCAAAAAAAGGAAGCCAGGATATTCGTCCAGACCACCCCAGATTAAGCAATATATTCCGACCTGACTTAAGATGTGCATGAAGATCAGGCTGGGTTCAAAACTTCAAAGCTACATCCACAGCCCAAGCTCTTCAAGGCAACTTCTAAAACTCCTACTAGGACTATCTCTTGCCTTCCCATTTTTTCCTCACCAAGGGGCCCAGAGGCCTACCCAGTCCCAGCCCAAGACACAAAGTATCCCTGGGAGACCCCTCTCCCCATCACTGGCCTCAGAGCTGGCCCTGCACACCTGAAGGCCCAGGATCTATGATGCTCAGGACCCAGTGGCTTCCAGGCCAGGGTGGAAGAGAGATGGGGAAGGGAGAGGGGGCTGACCCTGCCTAAAGGCAGTCTCCTGCTGGGGTCCGATGGGGCCACTCACTGCTGGACTTGGTGGCTGCAGTTGGAGCCAGTATAGCTGATGACAAGCTGCAGCTTCTCACTGGCATGCTCCACAAACTGGCGCTTGAAGGCCCTCTCCTTGGCCTTGGTGGTCCAGGTCAGACGCTCATAGACGTAGAGGAGGCCATAGAGCCCAAAGGAGAGGGCAATGAGCCGCCAGCCCACTGCCTTCCACACCTGCAGAGCATACAGTCAGCCTGGAGGACAGCCTCTCCGTGGCCCACCCTCCTTTAGGGTCCATCACTACCAGGGCCGTCCGAAGGGCCTCAGCCAACGAGCTCTCATGTTTCTACTCTTAAGTTCCTCTTTCTATGTCTCCTTTGATCCCACTAAGGCCAGAAAGGCTGGGACCATCTCCAGCGGGAAGTGAGGGAAACTTGGTGAGGGAGTAAGCGCTCCCCATGCCATCACAGTGAAGAGTCACTGAGAGGAGAAAGTATACAGTGGACTGTAGAGTGTGGCCCAACGCAGGGGCCACCACAGGAACCTAGCCCTCAGGCCCCACCCACCTGCCCTCCACCCCCACCTTCCCAAGCTGAACTGGTCACTGACCACTCCTCCAACAACAAGAATGCCCATGGAGGTCCTGGATGTCAGGGAGGCCAGGCCGGTAACCATGGAAACCATGAACTCCTCCTGGGTGAGCGAGCCCTGTGGCAGCGGGGGCATGCTGGGGTTGGCTGGCGTCAGAGGGATAGGACGCTGAACCTGAGGAGAGAAAGATGAGAGGGGTGACAGGGACGTGGTGAGTCTTTCATTCACATGAACCCTCAGTGTCACCCTAGTCTGGGGAACAGGGACATAGAGTGGCTCTTCAATTTCCAAAAGGCAAAAAGAGGACAACTAACTTCCGATATAGCAGAGGAGACCCTCAGGTGAACACCACAGGATGTGCACAATGTGAGCAGGAGTCATCCTGGCCCGCCTGGCAGCTTCCCCGAGCGTGGGATGTGTACAGAGGGCAGTACGTGTGACAACTCAAGTGGTTTAGAGATGAATGTTTTTAAAATCTGAACTTTAAAATAGTTGTATGTAGGTGGTTATTTTTAAAGTCATCTATTTTTAATAGTTACTTTAATATGTATTAGAGAAAAATACTAGCATCTGTCATTTCACAAATATCACTGCTTAGAACAGATAAGCTCAATCAGCAGCAGAAATTCTGACTGTGGTGTACTGTGTGGTGGGGCACACCACCACAGCTGCTGACCTTTACCCCGTTTCAGAATGGTTCCTGTGTCTGGAGGCGGGGTACAGACTGACCCCCCACGATGCCCCTGAGGTGAGAAGCTTTGCTTGCCTGGTCATTGTAGCCCATCAAGGCCCGACGGCTGTTCTTGGGGCCCAGGAACCTGTTCACCAGCATGGTCCATCCGAGAGAGAAATGGAACTCAATGTCTTCCTGAAAGTCAGCACACAGCTTGTCACAGTTCAGGTCGTAGTTGAGGGAGAAGCACTGGCGCGGGACCAGCATGTCTATCTGACTCCGCACAGACACGGGAAGGAGGGGTTTCAAGCCATCTATCGGGGGAGAAATGGAGGAAAAGCTTATCAGCTCAGCCCTGCGCCACAGCAGCACCAAGCCTTGGAGACGGCTCCACCAGCTACTGCCAGGCCTGCTGAATAGCTCTGCCTGGGAACCACACCCCGGTCAATTTGGCCCATGAGACTGAGCATGCCTCACTTGAGGCCAGCTCCCCCAGGCAAGTGTGGACCCAGATGCCATACTGCTAACACTTCTGCCTCACATGGACTTACAGGAGCAGGCCCAATTCTCAGCCTAGGATAGACCCATGTAGTAGCACAAGATGGGCTCCCCAACCCTGTGTACAGAATGAGTTCACAAGGCCAGGCCCGGTGGCTCATGCCTGTAATCCCAGCACTTTGGGAGTCCAAGGTAGATAGATCACTTGAGGTCAGGAATTTGAGACCAGCCTGGCCAACATGGCAAAACCCCATTTCTACTAAAAATACAAAACAATTAGCCAGGCGTGGTGGTCATGCCTGTAGTCCCAGCTACTTGGGAGGCTGAAGCAGAAGAATCGCTTGAACCTAGGTGGCGGAGGCTGCAGTGAGTCAAGATCATGCCACTGCACTCCAGCCTGGGTTACAGAATGAGACTCTGTCTCAAAAACCAAACAAGAATGAGTTCACAACATGTACCCAGAACCTGAAGGTATTGAGTTGAATCATCATGAAAAGTGACAGATAAGGAAAGTCCTGATTTCTTTAGCTTGGCCTCTGTATCTGATCTTCGGGCAGCCCAGGCCACAGCTCCCCAGTTCCCTATGGGCACTGACCTATCATGTCCTGTTGCATGGTCTGCAGGGAGTTGGTGATGGCCGTGGAGCAGCGGTCTGACATGTTTCGGCCCAGTCCTTCCTCTATGTGGCGGTGCAGTTCCTGCCACCAGAAGAGGGAGGTTAAGAGAAGCAGCAGGTCCATCAAAATTCCCTTCAGGCCACATCCACCAGGTGACCCCAGAAGGCTGATGGAAGCCTGGGCCTCATCTCTGTGGCTTCCACTTTCACTGCTGGGGGGCCCTGACCCAGACCAGCAGGGGCTGAATCACTTTTGGGGGCCTCCTGCCAAGAGGACCTGTTGCTCCATGACTCACATTCTTATAAACCTTGAGGACTACTGGAGAAGGGTGGAAGTCCATCTGGTAATCATCCACCAGCACAGAGAGGCGCCTGATCTCCTCGGCCATCGCAGTTGACACCTACGGCAAAAGGAAGCACACTGTTAAGTATCAAGGAAGACCAAAGTTCAGTCCTGCAGCACCAGGAGAGATCCCAGCAGACGGCATATCTTTCCTCTCAAACCAGCAGCCTCCTCAGCTCCTCTATGGAGTTAAAGCCTCTGAGGTGAGAGGGTCTGGGAAACTGGCTGATCAAACATTCACGTGATCTGTGGAGGTCCAGAGGAAGGGGAACATGCCCAGCATCACACAACCCAACAATGGAACCCAAAGGGCAGCTGTGTATTCTTGAAGCAGGGCCACAACTTCCTTCTGGAAGGCTGAGAAGTCCCTAAGAGGAGGTCTGCTTTCTTCTGGACTCTACTCGGGAGTCCAAATCTCCCCAGAATGCGTCCTCCTCATTTCTCACCTGCCTCTCCACTTCCTCCGTAATCTGCTTAATTCGCAGCTTATAGTCTTGAGCCAAGAGCTCCAGCTGTTTGTCAATAAATTTCAGTCGGTCTTGCCGCTCTTCACGCATTTCCTCGCAGTAAACCCTGAAAGCAGAGTACTGGTGAGAAATCCATGTTCCTGTCTGGCTAAGCAGAGGAGCAAGAGGGGATGCCAGAAAGCCCAGGCCGCCCCGCCCGCTCTCTTGCCTGGCAGGGCTGCACACACGCACCCAGGGGCATAAGCTTGCCCCTTCCCAGGTAAGAAGGGAGCCCTGCAGCCAACCATGCATTCCTCAGTCTTCTACGTGGGACAGGCGGTGGGGACAGAGCAGAGAGGGCGTTGTAAGGGGGTTTAAACAAATTCTGCCAATTAATATAGGGAAAAAAGCTCAACCTCACTAGTAATCATGGAAATGAATTTTTTTTTTTTTTTTTTTTTTTTTGAGATGGGAGTTTCACTCTTGTTGCCCAGGCTGGAGTGCAACGGCGCGATCTCCGCTCACTGCAACCTCCACCTCCCGGGTTCAAGCAATTCTCCTGCTTCAGCCTCCCGAGTAGCTGAGATTACAGGCATGTGTCACCACACCCAGCTAATTTTGTAATTTTAGCAGAGACAGGGTTTCTCCATGTTGGTCAAGCTGGTCTTGAACTCCTGACCTCAGGTGATCCGTCCGCCTTGGCCTCCCACAGTGTTGGGATTACAGGCATGAGCCACCATGCCCAGCCAGAAATGAAATTTTTAAAGGCACAATTTTCTACCAAGGCCTGGCAAAAATGACCAGGCCTGAAGTTCTGGTGAGAGCTGAGGAAATGGAAGGCCTAGGGACAGTACTGGTCATGCAATGAATGGGTACGGCTGTTCTGGAGAGCAATCAAGTAAAACTGACTAAAACTGGAAACGCGTGTACCCTAAAACAGAATCCCCACACCCCTAGGAATTCACCCCAGGAAGACTCTTACAAAGGTGCACAAGGGGACACGTGAACACATGTCCACTGCAGTAAGGTTTCCAATAGCAAAAAAGAAATCTAAAATTCCCTCCATAGGAAAATGAGGCATATTCACAACGGAATATACTACAGCAGTTCCTATTCATAAACTCAAACTACACACACTAACAAGGATAAAGGGAAAAACGATGTTGAGTAGAAAGTAAAGCCAGGTACAGTGACAGTGTGATGCCACATCTGTACGTCTGAAGCATGTAAAAACCTTCAGACGTACAGATATGTAAGAATATGTAAAAACGTAAGAATATGTAAAGACGTAAGAATATATAAAAACCTGACATATTCTTCAGCATTTATGTGAAAGTACTGTTTGAATGGTGATAGAACAATGTAAATTCATGATTATGGTGCCTCTGGGCAGAGTGACACTGGGACAAGTGCAAAAGAATCAACAGGGAACTTAACTTTTTAAAATTTTAACTTAATATAAACAATTGAGGCCTGGCGCAGTGGCTCACACCTGTAATCCCAGCACTTTGGGAGGCCGAGGTGGGTGGATCACAAGGTCAACAGACCATCCTGGCTAACACGGTGAAACCCCGTCTCTACTAAAAAAATACAAAAAATTAGCTGGGCGCGGTGTTGGGCACCTGTAGTCCCAGCTACTCGGGAGGTTGAGGCAGGAGAATGGCGTGCATCCGGGAGGCGGAGCTTGCAGTGAGCCGAGATTGCGCCCCTGCACTCCAGCCTGGGCGACAGAGCGAGACTCCATCTCAAAAATAAATAAATAAATAAAATAAACAATCGAGAAAGTCAATTGTGTGTGATAGAAGCAAGGTGTTTTCATATTATTCTTTAGTGACAGGGTCTCACTCTGTTGCCCAGACTGGAGTGCAATGGTGCAATCACAGCTCACTGGAACCTTGAACTCCTGGGCTCAAGTGATCCTCCTGCCTCAGCCTCCCAAAGTAGCTGGAACTACAGGTGTGCGGCCACCACACCCAGCTGATTTTTAAAATTTTTGTAGAGATGGGGTCTTACTATATTACCTGGGCTGGACTCAAAACTCCTGGCCTCAAGCAGTCCTCCTGCCTTGGTCTCCCAAAGTGTTGAGATCACAGGTGTGAGCCACTGCTCCTGGCTGGAATGTTGTTTTTAAAAATGTGTTCAGCCTCTGAGAATGGCTGTGGAGCTCAGCAGGGCATGGGCCAAGGCCTCCAACACAGGGAATCATGTTGCACAGACCAGGTGGGGTGATGAAGCACCCAGCCGCCCTCCTCACCAGGCTGTCTATGTGACTCTAACATGGTCTGGTGGCCAGGGAAAGGGCCCTGGATGGGAGCCCAGAGACTCAGCCCTGCCATCAAGGCGTGTCCTAACTGCCCAAGGCAGGGGAGGAACAACCTCATCTCGGCAGCCCTCTCCACCTATCTGCAGTCTTGGACTCTTACTGCTGCTCCCGAGCTGCCACATGCAACGAGTCCATGATGAGTCGAACCGCCTCTGCAATCTGCTTGGCCCGGACCGTGTGCTGCTCAAACTTGGTCTTCACTGCAGACTGGGAGATGCACTCCTGGAACACACAAAGGCACGGAGGGAGGTGGTGGCCACCAGGGGCCTACGGCCAAGGGCCAGACTCTGGCTTTCACTGCCAGGGACACGGCCAGTGGGAACTGGGGAGGCACAGAATCACCATATACCAGAATCAAAGGACTCACCTCAAACCTCCTCTCAAAATTCTGAAACTCAAACATCCTCACTTGAAAGCCTTCTGCGAGAGCGCCCCCTAGGAGAATGGTACTGCATTAGCCCAGAAACAACTTGGCGGCAGAGGAAAAGGATGAAATCCCCAGAAACCAAGCCACTGGCTGAAGAGCAAGAGCCTCTCACTCTGCTCTTCTCAGCAGCCCCTTCTCAGAAGGATTTTCTACTGACAGACTCAGCACGAGACAAAATGTCTCAAACATCAGGGAAAAGAAGGACATCTGTTCTCATCATTACCTCCTTCGGGCATGCCCTGGGCTTTCTGAATCCTGGCGTTGAGCACCTCCTTAGCAGACACAAAGAAGATGCGGTCCCCGGCCTGGGATCGATCCACCACACCCAGCTCATCCACTAGGAAGCTGGTACAACGCTCCATGTGCTGCCGCCGCACCTGGAGCCCAAACAAATGTGTCCAAAGTTGGTGCAGGTCGCCCCACAGCCCCCACCTGCCTTTTTCATTAAAAGAATAGGTCATAAGAGGCTGGGCACGGCGGCTCACGCCTGTAATCCCAGCACTTTGGGAGGCCACGGCAGGTGGATCATTGAGGTCAGGAGTTCAAGACCAGCCTGGCCAACATGGTGAAACCCTGTCTCTACTAAAAACACAAAAAAATCAGCCACGCATGGTGGCGGGTGCCTGTAACCCCAGCTACTCAGAAGGCTGAGGCAGGAGAATCGCTTGAACTTGGAGACGGAGGTTGCAGTGAGCCAAGATAGCACCACTGCACTCCAGCCTGGGCAACAGAGTGAGAAAAAAAAGAATAGGCAACATATTCACATGGCTCAACAGCCAAAGGCACAAACACATACACAGTGCAATGTCTCCCACTATTCTGCTCTCCAACCACCAAGTTTCCCAGACCAATGTGTGGGGGTTACTTGGCGTAGAGCCTGCCAAAGATATTTTATGCATATACAAGCAGAAATGCTTAAACATGCCCTAGACTGCCTCTTGTTAAGCTTATATAGTGCCTCACTTTTGTGCCCTGGAAGGAAAGGAACCCTGGGGTCAAGTAACCTAAATCTGGGAGCTATACTCTGACAAGCCGTGTCCTCCTGGGGCATTGTTTACAGAAAGAGTGGGCATCACTAGAAAATCCCTCCTGGCTCTGACACCTGGGGTTCTACCTATAAAATGTGACAACAGCTTCTTGTAGACACCTACCATGTGTCAGGTGTTTTAGACAGCTTTTATCCTCTCAGCAAGTCTATTTATCACACTGCTGAGGAAACTGGATTTACCAGAAGGGTCAAGGGATCTGCCAAAGTCACACTGCCTGCCTAGTGTCAGTCAGAATTTGGACTCTGGGCTGGGCACAGTGGCTCATGCCTGTAATCCCGGCACTTTGGGAGGCCAAGGCGGGCGGATTATCTAAGGTCAGGAGTTCGAGACCAGCCTGGCCAACATGGTGAAATCCCTATTTCTATTAAAAATACAAACATTAGCCAGGCGTGATGGTGGGTGCCTGTAATCCCAGCTACTCGGGAGGCTGAGGGAGGAGAATTGCTTGAACCTAGGAGGCGGAGGTTGCAGTGAGCCAAGATTGCGCCATTGCACCCCAGCCTAGGTGACGAGCAAAACTCCATCTCAAAA